GGCCAGAGTGAAAAAGAAAAAGTTTATAAGGGAAGTGCTATTTTTCCCTGGTGGCAGAAAACACTGAGCTGGAAGGTGTGGCTGGGTAAGAGCTCTCCAGGGCATCCAATTCAACAAATGTTTCAGGTGAAATTCCATTTGCCCATCTCTGCCTCTTACCCCTTTCCCCTCTTCCAGCTCCCAAACTGACTTTGCAGAATGAAACGTGAAAGGATTATAAAATTACTCTGCAATTATCTACTGAATGTACAAAGAACATTTCACAGGTCTCTTCTCCCTATCAGAACAAAGAGGAAAACTTAAAATAATATTAGCACAAAAGCTCCCTCATAGCAGACATGGTGATTTTTTTCAAACCTGCAAATGGAAGAGAATATACAACTTTGCACTTTGACCTGAATTGTAAGAAATCCACTTTTTTTTGTGTGTATGTTTGTTTCAAATCAATGTTGTTCCTTTACAGCTGTTCCACCTCCTCTTTGGCATTCAAACCAGGCTGGAACCTCACAGAGTCATACGCAAAGTTTTGATTAAAAAAAAGGATGCAAACTGAAGCTGAGTCATTGCTGTCAAACAGTGTTTCAGAGATTGGAAGGACTTGGGGATGTATAAACACATGACACTCCTATATGCTGAAGACTGCAGATATTCACTGTTAATAAATGAGCTAATAGTGATTCTCTATGTGAAGAGTCTGCAGTATTAGCTCAGCACCAAGCGTATATGTAACCCCTTTTTCGTGACATCACACACCACCTTTAATATCGAGGGCTGAGTGCTTCTTTTTCTGGTAGCCTCGCAAGGAAGCAGAAGATTGACAGCTTGCTGCGTTAATGTCAACTCGGTTGCTTCCATCCTGCACCACTGACTTAGCAGAGGTCCTTCATCTCTACTCCTGCCCTTTTTCACCTTTCAAAATCACCAGCCTGTCAGCTGTCCACACTTCATTAATAGCAAAAACTATAATGCTGGAGAATTATTCGTTCTTAACTAGACAAGTATGTAAGAAAAAGCTGTTTGGTGTAAAGGCCATCTTTATGTCCCAGACCTGTCAAGTACTCATCATAGTTTAACCTCTGCTCATAACCAGGGCTTTTTGGTGCTGCAGTGCAAATAAACACAAAACATAAAATGACAGATGTGCTACTGCAGAGGACAGGCAGCTCGTGTGAAAAGAATACAGGTATCCTCCCAAGTAATTTCAAGAACAAATTACAACCAATAGCAGTCTACAAGATAGCTTTACTGAAGGAAATAATTTTCATGGGAAGTATTTGGCGCAGCTCAAAGGGGAAATTTAATGCTGTTTTAGTGCCCAAAGACAAGAGGTTTATGGAGATTTCAAAACTGTAGTAGTTTTATCCCTAGATAAAGAAATGTTTCATGAAAAATCTGAAGAAAAACCAAAGCTTTTGAGTGACTACTGGTGTTTGGAGCCTGCAAGTCCCTCTTCTTTACTTGTTTTAATTACCATTTAAAGTAAAATAACTAAACTGGCAATTAAACTGCAAATTAAACCAATGATATATATAGTATGTGTATATATATGACATATATAGCAAGTTTATTTCAAATATAATACTCTAAAACAGTGATATATATATTGTGTATATATATGATATATATATAGCAAGTTTATTTCAAATATAATACTCTAAACCATTGATACCCTTCAACAATCACAATGAAACATTTAAATGAAAAAGCAATAGCAATTCAACTTCCACAATTATTTCACTACCACCTTATCACTTCTTAACATCTGAGTGTTCTTTATCATATATATTGGGACAGAAGACTGTCAAAAATGCTGCCATTCCTGAGAGCGCAATCATGGTATGGTCTCATTTGTATGTCTCACTTTAATGAAATGCCTTCGTTTGATCTTGAGTGCTGCAATGAAGGTTTTACTCAAGGATGAACCTGAGACTGGCTATCTCCTGTTGATGTAATTGACCCCATGTATGTAACTCAAGCATGTTTGTGGTTAGTGGCACAATCTTGTTAGCTCCGGTAATTAAACTCTGATAACAGTGATAAATGGATTTCAATAATAGAAGCAGGTAAGAATAGCTTTCCTCTCAAATGCTACACAGATGAAAGACATAATTTTTTCCTAGCTTTCATTTTTTCAGTGGCAGTTAAATGTCATGTATTTCACTACACGCCTTTCACATCCTAAATATCTTGGACTTACTTCAGAGTTTTGAATATTATGTAAATTATGTAAATCTTGAGGCTTAAATGTAAGCCTGGTATCCTCTGAAGACACTGTCTACTTATGAAGACTTATGTCTACTCTTGCCAATCTCAAATGTTCCGAACAAACTGCTCCAAACCTCATCATATTATTTTCTCTGAAAACAGTTAGTCAGATTGTCCTTTTTAGGCTACAAAATGCTAATGCCCAGCCACACCGTGCCCTCTAACAGGCAACAGACACATAACAATTGCATGTCAGAAAGACAAATAGAACTGGATGGATTCCTGGTTATAAGTAATTAATTATAGATGGGATATCATCCATAAACGAATAGGACATTCTGTCATTTCTCTTTCAATATACTAGCTGAGATACAACTGAGTCATTAATTGGTGTCCACTAGTAGTAGGTATGTCAGATAGAAATGTCATCCAATTTTCTCTTCATTAAAAATTCCCCAAAATGTTTTCTGGGAGCCTTCTGAAGCTGTGTTCTCCTAACTCTACTAGATTGCATTTGGAGACTGACCAGTGAATCCACATAAATGTGCAGATCACAAACATGTCCAACCTAGAGAACACTATTTCATTTCTAAACCATTAATGGAAGTATTGGATTTAACTTTGATTTGAATAAACCTATCTAATTTTAGACATGCATACAGGTATGAAGACGAGATTATATTGCCAGTTTGATAAAGCTTACTCTCTGCTGTGTGTATTTTCTTTGTAATCATAAAGAAGAAGCAAACATTTTTATCTGCCATAACTGCTATGTCTGTCTATGAAAGAATTTAATTCCGTAAAGAAGCCAATTATATATATATATCACACATAGCTTTGGAAAGAATAGCGCTGTTTCTTGTCGCCATAACTGCTATGTCTATGAAAGAATTTAATTCCATAAAGAAGCCAATTATATATATATCACACATATTATAGCTTTGGAAAGAATAGCGCTGTTTCTTGTTAATTTCTGAAAGTCATTAAATTGCATATTATTTTAATTAAGCAAAGTAATCTAACAGGCACTGCAGATGTGACTGGTATGCATTTGAAAACTTTATAGTTCTTCATTCTTCATACTCATGCCAGAAATGACAAGAATCGGGAGAATAGCACGATTCAGATGACAATCAATAAAGAAGCTTTTTATGAGCAGCTACTGCAGCAAACAGGCACAACAGAGGCATAAGACTACAAAATAGTTTTTTATTTGATGGTACAGTCGAGTTTAAAAAAGTGAAACAGGCAAGAGCCATTTTTACTAAGAAACTGTGGAAAATCAGAAGCGCAAATAAAGGTTTTGGTTTTAACCAAAAGACAGAAACAACATCACAGTGTTCACGGAGTGTTTTACTAACCCAGCTGTGTCAATATCTCCAGTCCTTTCTGAATGTTGCAACACATATTCAAGGCTGCATAAATGGCTAATTCACTCCTAAAATGTGGAATTCCTTGAACTGAAATGTAGCAAGTCTACATACCCCCAAAAGAGACATATGGGAAGAAGAGCTTCTGCAGTACTATACATTTGCCCATCCTATGTTCATCAGTGTGGCAAGTGCCTTAAAAAAATTGCAGAACTCCATATTTACAGGCTACTAAGTAACTGCTTCACTTCTGTTCTCCCTTGTGTATATATGGATCTCCTCTTATGTTCTCGTAGACACGTCCCTGTGTTCCCTTTGTTATCTGGCTCTTCTTTCTGGCAGAGGAGTGTTGAGGAACACCTTTTGCAGCACTCCCAGTCTCTCCCTAATGGTATATAATTGTCAGCTTCCAAGAGCATTGCAGCTCTACCACTACTGCTGGCAGAGGGAGGTAGTCGCTGAGACAGCTAGTGCCAGTTATTGCAGCTTTTAGAATAAAAAACAAAATCAAGGTCATACACTTGAAACTGACTTGTGGGCTTATTCAGTCATCAGCCAATGAAAAACAGAAGGATTAAGCAAAACTAGAGCACTCTGGCTTCTCTGACTTCTGCTGATGAGCAAGTGAGGTACATTACTGTATGTTACCCAGTATCTACACGGTGCCCAGTCATACACAATTATGGTCATACATCATTACCTTTCTACTGAAGATAGAAAAGTTTCCCAAAGTTTCATCTTGCAGATATTCAGTATACCTGCTGGATAAAGGCTAGAGAAAGCTGTCAAGACAGAGAGTATTTTAAGGATTTTTTGAGCTTGAATCTCACTCCTTACACTGATCATTCAACTTTATTCAATACTTCCTCAGGAATATTACAAGAGTGTAATATTTAGAACTGAATTATTAGAATTATTAGAATTCTAATAAAAAACAAGAATTATTAGAACTGAAGGGAAAAGAGAAATCCTCTTTCATGGGTAACTGCAATATTTTGAGATCTGATTTCACTTGTATGTCAAAGGTCCAAGGCAGTCTCTTATATCAGCTTTTCTAGACTTGTTCTTCAATTCTCAATTTTCAGTGCTCTTGAGAAGGAATTCAACCAGAAACCAAACCACCTAGTCAATGCGTCTTGTTAAAACAGACCACTTTCAAACTTCCTACGTGTAGAGTATTAAAGCTGTAAGATACTGGCTTTTTGCTATTACATACTCTGTATTGTGCTAGCACTATTTATTGGATTCTCTTTCTACTACTTTAAAAATGGTGTGCATATATTGTGCAGAGCTATGAAGAAACAAAACTAAAGCCTCAGAAGGGATCGCTATGGACGAAATACTTCCTTTAGGATAAAGAACTCATTGTGAATATGCTTAAAACACAAACACAACGCCCAGTTAAGGGAAGAGAAAAAAACATACCTGTGAAAAGCCGATCACCTCTCCATTTTCATCAAGCACGTTAAAATTAATGACTGGACCCTGGACATCAGGATTACTGAAATCTGTATCGCTGTAAATACGTACTACAGGAGCTCCATTGGCATATTTTAAGGTAGACAGCACAGTATAGGTGTAGTGAGCTAGTGCAAAGGTATGCTGTTTTATTTTCTCCATTCCACCTACAAAAGAAAAGTGTATGTACATGTCAGATGCCTTATTTTACGAAAATGTAAAAAAAAGGATGATTTTTCAGAATGGTGTAGCTGAGAGGTACACTAGCACAAAATTGGTAGTTTTGAGTCCCTTTAAATGAATATACAATTTTCAAAAGTTTATTTCTTCATAGAAACGCTTCAGAAGGACTGTTGCACCAAGATTTATCTACAATTAATTGACTGTAGAAATATAAAAATATACTGATACGGATTAATGCACATTACAACATTGATAGTTCCAGCGTATACCTATCACTAAGACATTCCAACACAATTAATTTGAAAGCAAGCTTTGCTCCACATCTGGCTCTGGAGATCATGGGAATGAGGCATCAATTCTAGCACAGCACAGAAAGGAAACTGCTATGTCTAAGATTATAAAAAAAAAATCTAAATGAAATGATGAAACAGAAGTGTTAGTCCACAAGGAATTTACTTGAATACTGAAGAAATAGTCTTCCAAATCTGCTCTTTTTTTTTTTTTTTCAGAAGAAAAAGAAAGAGGATGTTGTGAAAACCTCAATGATTACACCCATGTAATCTACTTGCTCCAGAGAAGTTTTGCAGAGAAGCTGTCACAGAACTTGGCCTGGAAAAATTATAAAGAGGAATTATGTTTTCTTTCTTTGCTTTTATTTTTTTTTTTTCCTACGCTGAAGAGTTTGGAAAAGAGGACTGCTGAGATTTCCTGACAGATGGAGACCTCTTCTACATCTCTGCTTTCTGAGAGGAGGTTGTGTGTCTGTTAGATGTCCCTATCAAAACAGCTTCTCATTCTTGTGGTCAGAGGATATGCCATTGGATTATACACTATGGTCCCCTATGGCTTTGGGCATATTTTGATTCTCTGCAGGAAGCTCAAATGTAACTGTCAGATACAAAACAAGCCATTTCAGTCAAAGGAGAACATAGCAATCTGAAACAAAGAAGTAGGTTGTGACATTCACTGGGATAAACCACTGACAGAAGACAAGTAACTGGGTATGACAACAAATACGGCATGAGAAAAGGAATAACCCTAACCCTAATCAAACAGTAATTTAACACATGGAACAAGAAAAGTACAAGTAATCTTCAAAATAGAAACTGAAAACCTATGAATTTGCATCTTCATGGAAGACAATTAGAAGATAACAATATGATCTCAAAGTACTGTAAGAAACACAGGGAGATACTTGAAGGCTAATAATATGTTTAAACTAAATCAAATCTCCACTAGAGACAGCTGGAATTTTGGCTGAAAATCCAAAGCAGTTTCTTCCAAGCATACTATCCATTGCACTATAGTGAGCCTACATCATGTGGGGAAAAAAAAGAAAGAGTAATTTCCTCAAAGGCTTCTTGAAGTACAATAGTATTTTTCTGCCTGGGTTTTAGACTCAGAGTATTTTCTGTAATGTTGAGTATGTTATTTGAGGTACACGAGTATTTCTGTAACTAAAAAGATGTTTGACATCTTCTTTTGCCTTTTTTTTTTTTTTTTAACTGCATAACTATGAATCTCACACTTCTGCACACACCATTTTTATATCTGAGTATCTGGAAACTTCTACAGTCTCATATAACCTTCCTTGAACAGAAATCTTGTAATCTACTTGTTGACTTTTGTGCCTTTACTTGTAAAAAGACTGTGTCATTTATGAATATACACAATAGATAAAGCCAAAAAAAAAAAAAGCTTCCCCTGACATTCAGTAGAATTATAGCAACTTCTGTTACTTCACTTTTCTTCAAGTTCCTATATTATATATTATCTCCTTTAGATAAGCTAAGAGAGCAGACAGTAAAAGCATAGAAACAGATTAGATATAGGGTGGAAGTACATATTTTGGTTCTAAAGAATAATAAAGAGGAATGAGATATTTAATGAGATACTAACACACAAAGCACTTTCAAGGAATGTTGCCAGAAGCTAATCAGTACAATTTCTAGATGTTAGCCACAGTAATCTTGGCAGCATGTCTAGAACATTTTGGTCTGAAAGACGACTTGTATTTTCAGAGTCTTTTAGAATAAAAGATTGTGTAGTCAGAGATGTCCTAGTCATTGTTTGGTAGAAGTTAAGAGACTTGAAATAGTTAAAAAAAGACCAACAACTTATTTCTCAGCATTTGCCAGAAAGTAGTTGTCTTAAGAGAAGTGACTGCCTTGTCAGCTTCTAAGACGTCTGTAATCTCCTGATTCAGAGCTTTTCCAAATTGGCAGGAATCTTTTAATGGAAGATTAAACTACTGTCCTTGTGTGTTGTTGAAGAAATCTCTTATTCAGAAATTTCAGTCTCTCATTCACAGCAATCATCTTGCTATCATTTCTATATTGTCTTCAGCCATTCTCTTTTAAAGTTGCTTAATCACATTTCCTTGTTCATTAGTGAGAAGCTGATGAGCCTCTTAATTATTTATTCTGACAAATCCAAATGCAATAGCCCGCAGTTGCTTTTCTGCTCCGTGATTGGAGAGAGGAAGCAGTGTTGCCAGGCTCCCGTATTTTTAAGTAGCAGAATAGGTTGTGATTAGGTCTGATGTCACAGAAACCCCTATGAAACAAATGCTGGCAATCTGAAGTTTGGTGTGACAGAAAAAGGGGTATATTCAGAAAATACTTGTGATTTATTTTTATTTTGCCAAAAAAACCCGATCTGTACCATATCCTGCATAAAGCCAGTGCTTACCTTATCTCCTTCCCCCTACTTGGGAAAAGAACATGAGGAGGAGGAAATAAAACCCAGAACAAATCTTTGGTCTTTAACATGATCTAAGGATTTGCATTATTGCATCTATTGTCATATTTGGGGTGACAAAAATAAAACTTATTGCTTGACTCTGCCTGTCTAAGGTAAATGAGAAGGTAATCTTCTATATTTTGGTTGAATCGGTATTTATTATCTTATTGCATTCCTGCATTGTATCTTCCCTCTATACAGAACTCTGGTTTTATGCCCAGTTCCTTAACTCTGAATACTTGGAGACTCTTTTCTAGCTGCCTGTTGGGGGGTAAAAGAAGTAGCACACTTTAAGCCTTTTGGAAGACTTCAAGTTTGGAAAAAATGTCAGTATTTCATCTTGAGAAGGCGCTGGAAGGACTCAAGTGCCCTGACTCCCTCTCACTTCATGGATTTTATTCCTTACCACTGCATTGTTTCATTAAGGTGAATTGCACCTAGTTGCTACTAAAAATGATTTTAAAACGAAGAACAATTTATGCGCTTTGTAATTTGGATCAGAATGACTCTGATGCAGTCTAAATTACATCAGTTGAAGTCTAATACCATTCACTGTATTTATTTGTGTTGGAACACAGTCAGCACAAAGGATGCTCTCATTAACGACTCACTTCCTCCTATGGTAGAAATGTAAGGACTTCCCTGTCAAAAGGAAACTCCTGCATTTCAATGCATTAATATGTCCCTTGTTTTGACTTTACATTAAGGCAGATATGATCATTTCATTAATTCTTCTTCCCAATAGCACTTCATTTTTCACAATATTTGTTGTCACAATGAATGCCGCATATTTTTGCAGTGGTAAAGTTATTGAGCAGAAGAGATCAACAAAGAAAGCTTGGACTTTCGCGTACAAACCTCCTTGCCAAAGTACTTCAGCGAACCTGTGGAGATGCTGTTAAACCTTCTATTGTTGATCTATGGTTTCTACACTACATCCTAACAGATTAGCATGATCTCAGATCTACCATCCCATCCTATACTTCCATTTGGGTATTGTTATGGAAACCGATGCTGTTGCAGAATGGAAAATTCAGAGTGCCAGTGCACTGGCACAGATGAATTTACAATGTCAGCTTTTCCATAGGAATTGCATATGTGCATATGTCTATCCATAAAGACTGTGGAACAGTTCAGTCATCTGGAAGAGAAGGGTAAATTATGTCACATTTACAAAAGAGTTTAAACTATATGCATTCAAACTATGCAGAATTGTTCACCACGGTAGTGTAAATCCACTGCTTGCCTTGCCTGGTGATACCTACTTGTATTTGCATTACCTCTGAATTATTATCTGCTTGTTATATGCAAAATACAGTAAGATTTTATTTATCTGCAGGAATTTTATCTGATCAGAGAATGTCCAAGAAGTATTCAGTATAGAATGCTTTTGGGTCAGTATAGACCTTGTTTTGCATTACGCAAATGGCAAACGTAATGGCATCCAATCTCCTCTCTGAAGCAACCAGAATTTCAGTAGCTCAAATGTTCCAATGTTAGTTCTTCCTGAAAGAACTGTAGTCAGAGAGGCATATGTCAACATCTATAAAAGATTTTGAATAAAGAGATTAAGATAAAGTAGAGACTGAGCCTCTAGAATGAAAGCTCTGCTGCTTAAGGTTTTCAGGCTGTACTCAGAAATCACTGTGATCTGCATTTAAATACATTTCTTATCTCTCTTATTATGAGAAATTAAATACTGGAGATAAAGAAGAAGAGAGCTATAAATCAAATATACAGTTATTTTAGTAACTTGCTGTGAAAAAAAACACAGAAATTGAGGTTTACATGAACAAATTCTCTGTTACTCCAATAAATACAAAATCACATATGTCTTTGGATAAGAAAAAAGATCAATGTGATTCATTATTCTTCAGCATTACATAACAGATTGCGACAAGGCAGAGAAATGAGCTGAAATCTCAGCAAACCAATCAGCAGGGAGTGAAACCAAGATGTAGCCACCTTCTAATAAATCCCAAATAAGACAGATCACCATGTGGGACCTGTGAGTCAAAGTGCTAATGAAGCCACGGAACCTGTAAATCCTGTAAAACATTTGGAGTCCTTCCTTCACTTCCTCCAAGAATCATACATTAAGATTCACTTCTGAGCTTTTATTGGTGTCCTTTTATGCATAGAACTGAACGTCTCTAACTGAAGTCTGTCACCTACTTAGTGTTATTCTCCCAAAGAACATCTCTTGAGGATGAACTTGGTAAGTGTAGCTTCATGTATCTCC